CTTCATCACTAGCGCACCCCCAAAACACCCAGCCTTGAATTGTGAACCCTCAGGGTTTAGGGTTTAGGGTTTAGGGTTTAGGGTTTAGGGTTTAGGGTTTAGGGTCAAGGGGCATGAGTCCTAATCGCTACACAGAAAGTCACCACGGTTAGAAGTCTAATTTACCAGCCCCAATTCAACAACTTATAGCCTTCCACAAAGCCCTGAAACAGGTGCAAATATTGTAGGACCCCTACACAGCCCTTCTAGAAACCCGTAAACGCTCCACTGATCCTCTCAGCAGACCACCCATCTCTGAGGCTCTACGCCTACGTCTTACACTCTACATCTAGAAGCTGCAGGGGAACTGCCCCAGATGGTCGTGATGATGGCTTCTGGACCACCCACGTTCGTGAGGAGCTGGGAGCTTCTTTTTTCGGATTTTGCAAGCGGTTCTAATGTTTCTTTCGCAGGATTACGGCTTGGGGGTTGCTCGGGTTCGGGTCAAGCAGTGTGGGGCTCAGGGTTTAGAGTTCGAGTTTTATGTTTTGAGACCAGGTTGGGTTTCAAGATCTGTGGCTGTTGTTCCTCATTATCGTGTCGAGCTTGGAGGTCGAACGTTTCACGTAGCTACACGCGTATATGCCCATGTCCACGTCTAAGTTTAGGTCCATACAGACAACATACACATACACAGACATGCACACATGCATACATGCATACATGCATGTGTACGTGCGTACCTTCATTAATACATATGTACGTACACACCTGCAAGGACACATGGAGGGTCAACCCCCACAGCTCTGGACTGGTCAGCCTTGTTGACAGGAGCACAGAAGCTGCTCCCATCTAGCAGCAGTCGGCATCACTGCGACAATCGGCAAATGGCCCACATGGGGGTTTCCAAGAATAGGGGACCCTAATATAGTACCCTATATAATAGGTTCCTTATTATAAAGACCCCAAAATAATTTTCGGAAGGACCCACATGTCCGTGCCTGGTAGGCAGAGCACCAAAGCTGTGTGACGCTGGAAGGCAGACCGAAGCGCAGAAATCAGAAAGAAGAGGGAAAGCTTGGAGATAAAAGCGTGGAGGGTTTGAGTCTCATCTACTGTGGTTTGCTTAAATGCCTCCTAGATCGACAGCCGCCGCTCGCCGCGCCAACGGCTTTTTTCATGTAACTCTTCAGCAACTTCCACAATCGGCTGGCCCCTCCGCCTTTGTATGACCTGGCATTTCATCAACCCAACTCTAGAGGAGGGGTTGTTGACAAGGCCATGAAGTGCCCAAGTGGTTTAGGTATAAGTAGGGTTATAAATCCCCTAATATGGGTTATAAGTATAGTTACCCTACTTACCTATAACCCCATTTATAACTACCCATGAACCTCCAAGTAGATGGGGTTTTAGGCACTTAGGGGTATGATTGGACTCCTCACAACAAGTTTCCTACTGGTTCTTCGGGCAATGCCATGAAGCCCCCCCTAGAAATCAAGACCTAGCGTCAGACTACATGGCCGCCTGAACCGCAACCTGTAAACCCGAAGCTCGAAGTCTTAAAGCCTAAACCGCAGACTCTAAACCCTGAACCCTGAACCCTAAATCCAAAGCCTGAGCCCTAAACACTAAACCCTAAACCCCAAAAACAGAACCC